GCCCACTTTGAGAACGTTTATGAGCTTAAGGAAGCCATCGTTGAAGCGCGGCATCAAGTCGACCGAAAACTCATCGGGCATGCAACAGCATTTTTCAGGAGATAGGGGCAGAGTCAACCCTGCGTTGCGCAGTTCGCAACGGCACGTTGAGAGATCCTCAACGCACGCTGTATGGGCGGAGACGCAGACGGCTCGAGCATGCGAGTGTGAATGTTCGCGCGAGAGAACGTGTCTAATCGGGCGAAACTGCGCAACGTGGCCGTTGAGAACTGCGCAACGCAGGGTTGACTCTGGTAGGGGTCCTGTAAACTATCAAATTTGTAAGATGGTGTTTTTCGCTGTGGTCCCATTGTTGAGTAATTTGTTTTTTAGTGGATTCATAATTTTGAGACGTTGGCCAAGTAGCATTTATAATAAAAATGAAGATAAAAAAATTCCGTTTTCTCGAATTGAAAGTTGGTGTTAACAAGCAAATTTCCTTTCATATTTACCACTATATTACTATACTCATATTTTTTTATGTGGAGAGTTTGTAGAAAAGGTTTGCTATGCGAGTTTTCACAAAATTTCTAGGTGGAACTATAATTATGAAACGCAGTGTACGTATTTTTGTTGTGCATAGTGACTGATTTAATGTATGAAATATAATAGATCCTCGATGGAGTACAAGATGGTGAAAACTTGGACAACGTTAACACCATCATCAACTGTAATGCAAAGAGTAGTTATAAAAGCAATGGCAATATCATTATTTCTGAGTTCGCTTTAATCACTTTTCTCAACAGTGCTCGTCTAAGTGCTGGTGTCTTTTAGCTATAAGAACGAGATTGGACGGCTTTGACAGCACGCATTTATTTGATCTCGATATGCGTTAAAGAGATTTCCAGTGTTCCCATATAGGGGATGATATCATTTATTCGGAGGAACAGCGTTCCAAACCCTTTTCAATTCTTGGAAATAAACATCTCTCTCCGATTTTGTTTCAATTCTGAGCTTCTGTAGCTTGATCGCCTTCATTTTTTTCGACCATCTGATAATAAGCCACATTAGTATGGGAGAAATTGTGGTGTAAAAGGGTATAACCTGGAATCATTGTTATCATTAGCAAAACACTAAGGAACGTTATGTTCATGAAAATCAATGTTATTCGTCGGCATTATGTTGGATGGAGAATGGCCTCAGTCTGAAACCGTGAACTGTTCAGTGTAAACGAAGTTGAAGCTGAAGAGCACCACGAAATAATACAGTCTGAGCTAGGTCGCTGTA